CAGCTGGGCACAAAACATTCCTGCAGAAAGGGAATGAAGGAGAGGATGGGATCGTTCCCTTTGCTCTGTGATTAAATTGTGTTGAGCTGGACTGCAGCCTGAGTTCAGGGAAGATGAATCTCCCATTCCTGGAAGTGTCCAAGGCCAGGCTGGACAGGGCTTGGAGCAACTTAGGGTAGTGGAAGGTGTCCCTGCCCATGACAGCAGTGGGAACTGTAGAGGGTCTTCAAGGTCCTTCCAGCCCAAACCCTTCTGTGGCTCTTTGGTCTCCAGCAGAGGAGTTGGAGCCCCCACAAGAGTGCCAGGATATTTCACTGGCAGGTGAAGCTTCCACAGGGGTGGAAGTGGGAACCCAGGGATGCAAACACAAAGTGAGGGAGCGAGTTCGCAGCATGTCTGCTGTTCTTCAGTAAATGTCCATCTGTGTATTCTTGCCTCCCATTAATTGCAAGGTGAGTTATCCTTCCTCCAGGGAGGGTGATCTGTGTCCCCATACCTGCGTGACCTCACCTGAGAGTGACTCAGTTGCAGCAGCACTTACCCTGCAACACTTTTGAGCCTCTCCACTCCGAACCCCTGCCACACTTGGAAGTTTTAACCATTGGGTCCTGCTGTAAACTATGCATTTCCTCAACTTGGGGTCTTTTGATCAGTTTTGGGGGGCTTTATCTTTTTCCTTATCTGGAAAAGCACCGGCCCCACCCATCCTTCTGCTGCTCAGTGGTTGTTGTTTCAGACACTTCCCTGGCAGCTGCAAAGCTGATAGGAAGCAACAAAACTTCCACTGTGGATTATCAGGAGCACTACTGAGGCATTGCTTAATGCATCTGATATCTCAGCCTCGAGAACAGAAGGGGAAAAAAAGATTGGCAGCTATTGCAGGAATTCAGAGAGGGGCACCTTGGTAGAGAGTCGGGGGGAGACTTCTCCTTCCATTACAGAGCCCTGGGCTGAGATGGATTCCCTCTCCATCATTGTCCTAAGCACATTATCCCTGAAAGAAAGAGGGTTTCTCTGAATCTGCAATTTTTCTGGGCTTCAGTGTTATTGAAATGAAACGGCTTCAAGGATATCCACATTCTTTACCATCATATGGATTCTCATCTCATGTAAATTATTTGGCCACTTTTCATTTTAATCCTCCACTGTCATTTTCTACAAAAGAGATCATTTGGTTTCTTCATGGAAGGTATTCAGCTGACAGCTGCCCTTTGTCTAGAAAGCAGTGTGCCTTTGCAGGAGTTACTTGTGCCTGCTCCTTTCTTTTTTTCCTTCCTTTTAAGTTCATATGGCTTCATATTTTTCATCTATAGCTTTCAGAAACTTTTCAGGCTGTGAACAGGTTTGTGGCTGTGAAGGGAATTTCAGACATCCTGCATTCTTTGCCTGTGTACCTGGCTGATAAGAAACAGAACTAGAGGCAGAATAATTAATTTACTGCAAGAAGAACTGTAGTCCAAAAAAATCACAGTGTTTTCACAACTTCTACATGAGCAAACAAAATAGTCAGTGATGAAGCCTTGAATTTTTTTCCATGGCTTCCCTATCTTGAACACTTAATTATTCTCATCTACTTCTCAGGAATCATAGAATCATATAACCACAGAGTCATTAGGGATGAAAAAGACCTTTAAGATCATCAAGTCCAACCATCAGCCAGCATCACCAGTTCACCACTAAGCCAGGTCCTCAAGTGCCACGTGGTGGGAGGTTTTAAATGTTGTGCTTTGTGTCATGGCACGTCAGCCACAAGACCTTGATAGGATGGGGATGAAATGTGATGTGTTGGTAGAGTTTATGCACAGGGGATTTGCAGGCTGAGGAGGAAAATCAGCAATTAGGGTTGGATATTTAGGGTTACCTGGAGCTGTGAGACCTTTTCCTTTCAGGTTATGAGCTCTGATGAAGAAGCTTGCACTCCTTCAAATACTAAAAGCACAATATGGAGATGAACAGTATGGCCTCAAGAATGGCCCTAAGCTGAAGGGGGCGTAGATGTAGGTTGGATTTTGGAGATAAAATCTTCCCTGTGAGGGTGGCGAGACTCTGGCACAACCTGCACAGAGAAGCTGTGGCTGCCCCTGGATCCTTGGACTTGTGTAGGATTGGGTTGGAGCAGCCTGGGATAGCGGCAGGTGTCCCTGCCCATGGCAGGATGTTGGAACTGAATTATCTTCAAGGTCCCTTCCACCCCACCCCATCCTGGGATTGAGTTCTGAGGAGAAGATTCAGTTTTGAGGAGCACAAGTTGAGGGCTGGCCAAGTTTATAAATGTGTGGGGGAAGGAGAAGTCCCATCATTAATGAAGATAAGGAATAGTCCAGCAGGGGAAGGAGAGGCAGGTTCTAAAATCACTGTCAGCTGCAGAAACAGAGCTTTAACTGCTCCACTAGTTCCCCTTCCAGCTGGTACCCACTTGGGTTTGGGATCCCACAAAAAGGACCAGGATAGCTGTGTGACAGCTCTCTGAGATTTTTGATGCTTTTTCATAAATTGGACATTTAGGGTGAGAAGAATTTCACATTTTTTTGTGAGAATTTCTTTTAAACATTTCTTGTACAAATGTTTAGACATTTACATGAAAAGATCAGAAATTTGATGAGAAACGACAGGCAAATTAATTGTTTATAACTTAGTTGTAAAATGTTTAGAGATAAGAATTACTACTTCAGCAGTTTCTGAATCACAAAAATGATTGGTATACACAGAATTCCCTCATTTGCTAGAAGAGGTGTCTCATTCCTTGTCCAGTTCTGGAAGTTTGCTCCATCACAGGGAGATTTCCTGTTATCCCAGAGAAATGTAAGCATGGGCTGAAGTTTTGTTGTTGGTAGAAAATATTTTTATTATTTGTTGGAAGCAGCAAAAGCCTGGCTGTGGCTTGGGAAAGGGACAGTGTTGAGTTAGAAAAGGGTCACTGGTGGCTCTGGTGTTGCCTTTGCTGCTTTAATTAGTGTCTCACTTTCTTGAATTAACAAGAATGGGCAGTTCAAGGTCACCCTGATTGATAATTTTATGTATTTTGTAATTTCTTCCATAAATGTTGTTTTTTGTACATGTGATGCTGTTTAGGACTCCAGGGCAGGCAATATGTGCATGTAAATAACAGAGCAGCAGTTTTCAGCTGTGATCTCTTGATGTTCCTTTATCTCAGGGTGCTTAAAAGAGGAAACAATTCTTGGCTCTGGGCAGAGGGCAGTGCTCTGTAGGTGGGAGAGCTGAAATATTGTCATGGGGCTGTGGAACTGGGATCCTGAGCTTCTCCTTCCATCACTAACTACTGGAAAAAGCATTTTCTGCTGTGTTTTTTAAGTTCTCCATTCCCCAAAAATGCACCTTTGTAGAGAACCCTGCAACCCCTTTGCACAGAAGTTTGCGGATTTGAGATGGACACACACATCACTTCAAAGGCTGGAATCACAAAGGGGATAGGCATGGAAGAGGGGAGAATGCACTTTAAAATTAATTACCATTTCCAGAGGGTGTGATGTTCATTCTAAATTCTCATAAAGCTGAACAAAGACACCAGTCCTGTGTCAGGGAACTCCTTTGATTCCTCGGTCACCTTAATTCCAGCAATTAGTTCACTCTAATAGTGGAACTGTTGGCTGACAAACTCCCAACTTTTCCAACACTTGAACTGAAGTTTAAGGCAGAGCTGCCCTTCATTTGGAGAAGATTGAGCTATCCCTGTGGTTCCATTTGCTCTCTCCCAGGAGATCACCTGGAAGTCCATGAATGGTGCAACTCTCTGAGCTCATGTGTGATTTCTCTTACTCACTGAGCAGCAGCTTTGAAATAGGACCCCATTTTGGGCATCGCTGTGACTGTAAATGACTCTGTGAACAGGGGGATAAAGTAGTGGCGCCTAAAATTCAACCTGAGTGTTCAAAGTTTGGACAGAAACAGTTCCTGTGTGGAACAGAATCTGGATTTCCACAGAAAGTAGCTGGGGCCAATCCACTGGATGAATAATGGAAAATAGTAATTGCCTCAATATGCTTGAATCTCCTATTACCAAGTGATCTACAGTTAAGGAAATAAATATCTTATTTTCAAATCCAGAGCAGCTGTCCAACAGCCGGGCCTGCTGCTGATCAAAGTTGATAAAAGAAATCCTAGGATTATATATTATGGATAATCTACAGAAAAAACAGTGGTAGTCTCTGCTTGTGGTATGATTAGCAGAGCCCATTGTAGAAAACAGGACGTTTTGTTGGTTTTAATGCAGATCTGATAAGCTCTGTGGAATGTAAATCAGTTCATTAAAATTTGCAGAATGGTTCAATGAGGTAAAAGAGGAAACAGTTTTAACTTTTATAGGGTGTTTACTGCATATAAAGTACAATAAAATCACAGTTATTCCCAAAAAAATAGTGTTAGAAACATGCTGTACTCAATGTGTCGTTCTGAGGAAAATTGAAAAATTTTGAATTGTGGTTTTAAAAAAACAATCTGACTGTAGAAATCATCCTGTGCAATTTCATAGCATCTACACACCACATCTGTCTGTGCAGTATTTGTGGGCTTTTGCATAATACAGATATTAAAAGTATGTATGGATGTGTATATATTAAAAAATATATATGAACAGGGATCAGAAAAAATGTTAAACAGCTCCTTCTACCTAAGCTGGGGGTGTGTGAGGGGATAAAAAATAAATTATAGTAAAGTCAAAGGCCTGTGGTGTCTTGGAGATGATGCTTCACTTGACAATCTTAACTCTGATATCCATGGAATTGCCTGCATTTTTTGGGTGTCCTAGTACAATATTCCAAATGCTGAGATAATACTCATTTATCTGAGGGATTTGGGAAGTTTCCTTCATTCCATGTGGACATAAATGCGGGCTGGTGTTACTTTACCATAAAATTCACTGTGGTACCTTTGGAGAAGTGATGCATAAATCAGCAGCTGACACCTTTTAGTGGAGCTGCTTTGGAACCTTCATGCTCTGATTTCTTAAGAAAAAAACAGCTTTTTTTTTTCCCCTTTTGCAGTTACTTCAATGAGAATCAATATCCCGACGAGGCAAAGAGAGAAGAAATTGCCAACGCCTGTAATGCAGTTATACAAAAACCAGGTGAGGAACTGCTGGGGGGGTCCTTCCCAAAAACAAAGAGGTTTCAGCATCTTGAGTTGTGAGACTGATGTTTGCAGAATCACAGAATCATTTGAGTTGGAAAAGACCTCCAAAGTCATCAAGCTTGACTTGATAAATCAGGTTTTTGGAGGAGGAAGGGGCTCAACTCTCCTGTTTTTTAATATTTTACAGCTTCCAGACAGGGATCTCAGATTAGGACCTGGGTGTTAATGGAGGACCTTATCTTTAGGTCAACAAGTTGCATTTTCCCTGTTTCTGGAGAAGTTATACTTAGGAGTGGAGCATGAATATTCAGTGTAGTGTTAGTGGATGCACCTGCCTTTGCTTAGTTTTGCTAACCAAACATTTACATAGATTTCAGAACTTGTGTTTTGGATATATTTAGATTTCTTACAACCAGAATAAAAATTAATGAGAAGGCAACTAAAGTGTGAGTCATGCACATGGAATCACAAAATTATTTAGGCTGGAAAAGCCTCTGGGATCATGGAATCCAACCATCCCCAGCACTGCCAAGGCCAGCACTAATCTCTGTCCCCAGGTGCCACATCCACGGGGATTTTAAATCCTTCCAGGGATGGGGACTCCACCTCTGGGCAGCTGTGCCAGGGCTGGACAGCCCTTTCCAGACAGGAATTGTTCCCAATATCCAACCTGAGCATCCTTGGTGCAGCTTGAGGCCATTTCCTCTTGTCCTGTCCCTGTTCCCTGGGAATAAAGACGGATCCCCACCTTTTTATCCTTTCAGGGAGTTGTGGAGGGCTGGGATTATCACAGGATAGCTCAGGGTCAGACCACTTAAGAATGGAAGTGACCTCTGGAGTTAATCTGGTGAGGCAGGACCTGCTTAGATGAGATTGTTCAGTTTTCAGGTTCTCCAAAACCAGAGCTTTTCCCATCTCCAGGCCCCTGTTCCACAATTTTGAGTACTCTTCTGGCAAAATAAATTTTCCCTAATACCTGCTGAAATTTTCCTTGGAAAATCAGAGGACCAGAGAGCTGAGGATTTGATTCCTGGCTGTACTGCTGGTTTGTGGAGCAACTTGGAACAAAGTGCTGCAAGGCCATGTCAGGGAGCAGTAAAATACTGCCAGTGGTGCTGATGCAAACCATTAGGAAGCAGCCAAGCTATCAATTTCCAGAGTTTTCTTTCTTTCACTTGTCTCATCTCTCCTAACTTATTTAAGTGTGCAGATTGCTGCAATTACATGGGTGTTTTGTATGCTGAATAAATAAACTTTGAGAAGGAGTCAGAAGCAGGGGGGTGCTCAACCCTGTGTAGCCTGCAGAGGTCTGAGGATGCAGATATGGGGAACATTTTATACAGGGTCAAGAGCAACAAAAGAGGTTTCCAGGATGTCCTTGAAATACTTAATCCCTCCAGTCTTCCCTTATTTATGTTGATGACCAGATAAAGGCATAGTTTTCTATAGCTGCCTTCTGCTTTTTGGGACTTTTTTGTTGGTTTAAGTGTAAAAATCCAGTTTCCAGCATCCACCCCTGTTCTCCTGAAAGATCCCGAGTGTCCTGGCACTGTTGGGAGGGTGTGATGGGTGCTGGGGGCTGAGAGAAAGGACAGCAGATTGCAAGGGTGACACAAAACCTCTTCATTCATTTTACTGCTGTGTGAAATAGTGAACTGTACCCTCGTGACACATAGTAAGAGAAGGAGCCCCAGGGATGAGGTTTGTGGCAGGAATTTCAGTTTTTGGAATCTCAGTTTTGTGCTCAAACTGGAAAAAAAAACTTCATTCTCCCTTGGCTCTGGATTGAGTTGGTTAAAGCTGTAAAGAAATTCCTGTAATTCAGATTTAAAAAAAAAAAAAAAAACAGAAGAAAAGAAGATACTTGGCCCTTAGTGCCACAGCACCTAGACACTGGAATGTGATCCACATAAAGTTCACTTTTTTCTCAGTTATAATAACTTGCCAGTGCTGTCTGTGTTTCAGGGGTTTATCCCATAGAATCCCAGAATTGTTTGGGTGAACAGGGACCTCAAAGCTCATCTAAAATTCCAATCCCAGGACAGGCACACCTCCACTATCCCGAATTGCTCCAAGTCTTGTCCAACCTGTTCTTGGACACTTCCCAGGGATGTGGCAGCCACAGCTTCTCTGGAACCCAGTGAGTAACACCACTGAACTATTGTTTTTCCCTACTGTTGCTCTCCTAGGAAAAAAGTTGTCGGATTTGGAGCGAGTTACCTCCCTCAAAGTGTACAACTGGTTTGCCAACAGGAGGAAGGAGATCAAGAGAAGAGCCAATATCGGTAATGTATCACAGAGCCTGCCTGTAAGGCTTGGGGTTTGCTCAGCAGAGGTGGCAATTACGTAAGAATAAATTAGTGAAAACACCAGAGGTGCTGACAGCCTCGGGAGAAATGTGGAGGAATTATGAAAATGAGTCTCTTGCTGTTCCAGATTTTTTGTGAAATACGTGTAATTTGTAGAATTCTGTCATCAGGGCAGGAGAAGTGATGCAGTTACAAAGTTTTACTGGAAGATCAGCTTTAAAAAGCAAAGTGAGAATTTTATAGGTGGAAGGAGAGTTGCATTTCCCTCCTCTCAGTATCCAAACTCAAATCTGAAATGAAACCTCAAAATTGTAAATAAAGGAGATAGAGATGTTGGCAGGTTCACAAACTTAGTGTGGTTTTTATCCTGGTTATATCTCTGCCCCTGACAGCTTTCCAAGGTTTTGCCCAGGGACGAGTGGCTGGAAAAAAGCCACATTTTTTATGGATGATCAGGAAAATACAAAAGTCACTTCACAGTTAACCCTGTGGGTCCTTAGCTGTAAGGAAATCAAAAGTGACTATGAACTTGTAGGAAGGAGACCCTCTGATGTGGATAAGATATTCTGAGGAGAATAAATCACCTCAGTGATTTATTATTTTGTGGATTCAGCAAACTACTGCCATTCATAAAAAGTTTGATACCCTTACTTAGATATTATGCAGAATTGCTTTTGCAACACATGGGTGACCAGACATCCATATCTGCTTATTTCCAGTATTTTTAATTATTTCAAATGTTCCACGTTTTCCCTTATTTCTGAATAAGAAAAAAAAGCTCTAATTACATCATTTAACATGTTACTGAAGTTTAAATAAATTTATTTTTCTACAAGTAAAAATGGCTTCTCAAAGGGATGGGGGAATAAAGCAAACTTAGTGTTTGGAGAGGAGGTTTGGAAAGAGATCAAAAAGAATCAAGGGGAGCTTTAGATATATGGATCCTACTGGAAGATCAATTTTTGTGTTTTCAAATCCCTGAGGTGCTTTCAGAAATTTCACCCATCTATTTTCAGACACTCCCCATCCCCTTGAGTCCTGCCCAGTCCAAACTATAGGGGAAGATTTACAGGGAATGCCTTTGCCACCCTAGAAATGACACTGATTTCTGTTAGGATTGGCTGGAAGACAGGGATTTTTACTCCCAGGACAGTCTGGTAGTTGGCAGGGAAGGATTTCAGGCAAACCAGTGTTTGTACCTGGGCTGCCTTCCCAAATGTTGGAGGGTGAAAAGAAAGGTGCTAAGAACTAACCCTGTTCCTCCAGTCATTCTAACTTCCCGAAAAAGGGAAAAAAAAGCCCTGAGTTACTTTAACTTCTCCAATGCATCAGATAAATGAGGGATCCATTTGCTTTTTTCGAAGAAGCAGCAATCCTGGAGAGCCATGGAATAGATGTACAGAGTCCTGGAGGTCACTCCAACAGCGACGACGTGGACGGCAACGACTACTCAGAGCAGGTGAGCACTGGAGCCTCGTGGCCCAAACAGGGAGAACTCAAACACCCAAAAAGGCCCTTTTGCCTCTTGAAAATCCTGTTTTGTTTGGCTTTTGTGTCACTGTGATGGGGAGAGGGTGAGAATCCAGTATTCACCCACGTGGATTTGTTGCCTCACGACAGGACACTTGGCAAGTACGCAACGGGGAGGAGGAGGGACGATGTTCTGAAGGAGGCAGAGAAGCAGAGAAGGTAGAAGAAGACAGGAGGATCTGCTCCAAACAAGCAAGTTACACCCCTCACACCACACACAATGTCTGAGACGCGGCAGGAGAGCCTCACCTCAGCCAGAGCCCTGCCATACCCACGCTCTCCTTCCCTGTCACCCTGAGTTCCCCTCCCTCAGGAAGGGATGGACAGGTCCTTCACAGCCCTGTGTGTCAGGCACCAACACTTGTCCCTGAAAAACTGGGCACCTCTTGCACCTCTGATGTGTTTCTGCAAGAAAGGCCCTGTTCTAGCCAGGGCCACCCCTGCTGTGAGCTGCTGACCTGGCCTCAGACATGAGCAGGAGGGAGCCCTGCCCAGGAGCTTTCAGAATTCCTTGTGCCAGCCTTTCCCAGCAGGATTCTGAGCACCCTCCTGGAAGTTCCTGAGCTCCCTCTGTTCTGTGGGAGAACCTTCCAGGAGCTTCTCAGGATCATCCCTCAGACACTGACAGACAAAGGGTGAAGGGTGGGGGAAAGGATTTGATTTACTAAGCCCTGACCTTTAATTGGCTTATTCCATATTGTTCTGCAAGAGTGTGCCACAATTTGGATTATTTACATATTATCTGTCTTTTTTGTTTGTTTGTTTGTTTTTGCATTTTAATTCTTGCCTGTTCTCTCTTTTGCTTGTTTGTTTTTAACCCTTGACAGCCACTTCTTTTTCAAATTCTCTAGCAAAAGAATACCCCTTCCCACACTCTGAGCCCTCACCTACCCTAAAGTTGGTGACCCTTCCTTCACACACCTTCCTGACAGGTATTGCATCCCCTTCCCAATTTTCCCAGTATTGGCCAAACCCCCAGGGCTGTCTGTGCTGAACTGGTTGAACTCAACCAGCTCACTCCTGCTTTTGAGAGGAGATATTTCTGTGCTACCCCGCAGCTGGGCTGGATCACTTCTCCCTGCCTCTTTTGGGAGAAACTGGGAGTTCTCCCTCTGCAAAAGCTGCTGGTGGAGTGGAACAGCAGCTGAGTGTCCTGGAATGAGTCCCTGGCACACTTGGCTCTGGCCCAGGGCAGCAGATCCCTGGCAGAGGCATCCCCAGCTGCTCTGCTCCTGATGGGGATTGAGACCCTTTTTATAGGTCAGCACCAGCAGATTTGGTGGGACCAACTTTTCTGGCTCTCAGTGATGAGAAGCTGCTCTGTTACTGCCATGGAATATTTAGAAACCACTGCCAAGCCCAGAAAATTCCCTGTCAGACAGACAGGACTGGAATACTGAGGTGGAGCGTGATGTAGGCTCCTGAACTATGTTTTTCTACTGTGCATTAACCAGCATACTTTGAAAAGAGAAATAAATGGGTTATTAAAATTTAAAGATTTTTGTTTAGAGGCCTTAGAAATGATATTTCTCAGTAATCTGGGCTCCTCTACGAGGTGTAATCAGTCATTAGCAGCAAAGCAGATTAAATGGCAAGTTCTCCTGATGACCATTCAACATCCCTTAGCTGTTAAACCCAGAAATTCTGTTTTCCACAGAAAAAACTAATTAATTAAACTCTAATAAACTTTAAAACACAAAGTTCATCTGAATACTAACAAAGTGCCTAAACCCCACATTTTAGGGCTTTTTATTTGTACCATGACAAAGATTTCTGAGAGACCCTAAAATTTACCAGACCCTTGTTATAAGTGAATGAATCCTTCTAAATAACCTCAGGATTTTACCAAATCCTGTTTTTTTGTGTTTTTTTTCGGTTTGTTTTTTTTTTTTTGGTTTGTTTTTTTTTTTTTTTTTTTTTTTTTTTTTTTTTTTTTTTTTTTTTTTGTTCAGTTGGGGTTTTTTTGTTTTGTTTTGGTTTTTTGTTTTTTGTTTTTTTTTTTCCTCAACATTTGCCACCCCTCATCTTAATTTTAAAATACTCTATGCACGTTTGAAATTTTAAATCACACAAGGTCATTACTTGAAGGTTGTTGGGAGACTGATAAATGTTTACAATTTCCTTTCTGTAAATTGTAATAATTTAAAAATCCAAGATCGCAGGGGGATAACTAGTAGTGCCCTGTTTCAAAGAGGGGAAAGCACCATGTTTTTTCCCAAAATTCCCTATATGATTTATGGTGGCTCCAGTCCTCTTCAGTCACTGTGATTTTTTTTAGCATTGGAAGAGTTTTCCAGCATCTTTTCCCCTGTATCTGTGTGAATTCAGTGTTTTCACAGGATGCTGATTTGGACCAAGGCTTAGGCTCAGTTTGTGTCATGGTTTTCAACAATAGTAGCAGTTAAAGAAAAAGTGCTTTTCTAATGTGTATAGAATTATTTCATTCTAGTAGCTTCGAGCTTCTGGAAATCAGTACTTCTCTTACTACTTAAGAGGCTTTCTGAGTTTCCATAATTTCTAGCAGACTAATTTTCCCTGGATTTGTCAAACATACACTTTTAAAGCCATTTTTACTTTTGTCTGATGTAAAATCAGTGAATCCTGAACTGAACTGTGCTAGGTGAGCAGTGCTTCCCACTGCTGCCTTGGATCACATTATCATTCCAGCGAGTGTCTTTGATTATTAGATCATAAAAAACCATGGACAATTGTCCTCTTATTTTCCAATTATTTGTAATAAACATTTATCATGTCAACCATCAGCCATTTCTCCCCCAAACTGGAGGACCTGACTCTGTTTAGCTTCTTCTCATGAGGAAACCTCTTCCCTTGGGATGTTTCTTTTCTCTGCCTTTTCGATTTCTGTTGTGGCATCAAATAGAATCAGAGAACCCACAGAATGCTTTGGGTTGGAAGGGACCTTAAAGTTAATCTCATTCCACCACTTGCCATGGCCAGGGATGACCTAAATAGGGCAACTAGAACTGTATATTCCAGCTATAAGCATGGACCTGCCCAGTGATTCCTGTCCTAATTTGCTTTCCTGGCTTAACTTCATGTATCACTTGTGTCTTTATAATTCAATATTTTCCTCCAGAGCTGGGTCCCCCACTCTCTGCCTCATTTACCTTTGTCTGCACAGTGAGGGAAACCAGTCCTAAACCAGTTGTAAACCAGTCTTAAACCAGTCCTAAACCAGTTGTAAACCAGTCCTAAGCCAGTTTTAAGCCAGTCCTAAACCAGTTGTAAACCAGTCCTAAACCACTCCTGAACCCACGTTGTGACCGCACTCTGTCTCCCCACAATCACACGGCTCATTTCTTTTCTCCTCTGTGGTTTTGGACTTGTGGAATAACCCTGCTTCTCTCTGCTCCTTCCCACATGGTTCCCAGGATGACAGCACTAGCCATAGTGACCACCAAGACCCCATTTCCTTAGCTGTGGAGATGGCAGCAGTCAACCACACCATCCTGGCGCTGGCCCGGCAAGGAGCCAACGAGATCAAGACAGAGGCTCTGGACGACGACTGATGCCAAGAGAGGGGAGGGTCAAAGCAAGAAGTAACTTAGTTTTAGACGTAGCACCTTAGCAGACTTTCCTCGGTCCTTAATATGTGTTCTTACAGTATAACTTTGCAGTTTCTTGTACGTCAGTTAGCTGTTAGGGTCTTGTTCTGTGAAGATGGCATGGTGCCCTCAGCCTTTGCATATACTCTCTCAGTATTAATTCCCAATAAATAATCAATCAACCAACCAACCTCCCTCTCCCGGCCCCCAGTGGCTAGAAAGGTAAAATCAAAAAAAAAAAAAAAGAAAAAAAAAAAAAAAAAAAAAGAAAAAAAAAAAAAAAAAAAAAGAAAAAAAAAAAAAAAAAAAAAGAAAAAAAAAAAAAAAAAAAAAGAAAAAAAAAGACAAAAAAAAAGGAAAAAAAAAATCTTGCTGCTCTGTCTTAGCATTCAAAGTGCTTCCAGGTATTTTAGACAGCCCTCAATTACAAGTCTTAGGCTACATTTAAAATCTTGGATAATCTTAGAGATGGTGTTGAAACCGATAGTCCGTACGCTTTCCCTGCCCTGAGACTGAAAGGATGCAAGCTGAGGTAGTGGCACAGGGTCGATGGACACCAGACTGGGAGTATCAACAGAGAGTAAAAAGAACACTTAGAAACCCCACTCCAGCATGGGAATAAATGATTTCCAGCTGCAATAAGCCGTGCCTCACTGGTCATACAGTGACTCCGTTTACTTTCGGGTGCTGTGCCGAGAATGTCCATTGGAAACACATTCCCACATTTCAGTTGATGCTCACATATTCAACACAGACATCCTCTACTCTCACAAGCTGCGTGGCTTAGTGGAGAAGTGCTGCCTTCTGCCTCTGCGACCATGGTTGAAGCCCAGCCTGGGATCAAATGAAAAATGAGCTGAATGTCTAAATGGACAACAGTCCACTTCTCAGAACCACTGCTCGTTCTTGGCATGGCTGGCAGTGCCTGCTCAGAAGAGGTCTAGACTCTTACCCATCCATCATTAACAATTTCACCTTAATTCCTTCTCTCTCACCTTTTCTGTCCCCACTCTGCTCCCCTCTCCACTTTGCCACTTCCGAAAGCAATGTTTTCCAGGAAGGTTGTTAAGGTCCTAAAATGGGTGAGTGGATTTTTACACGTCTGTGTAAGTAATGCCTACATCCTGACTAGCCTGAAAGGTTACTGGAGAATTCAACATCTGACCTTTGCTAGATAATCATCAGAGCATAAATATTCTCCTAAATATGAACTTCTTTTGTTTGTTTGAAGGCAGGAGGATCTCTTACCTGAGAAATGGGGTGTGAATGTTTTGTGTTCTCTTTACTCTGTCTTTGTTAAGGTGTGAGAAAGCTATACTGCTACGAGCAATTTAATTAATAATTGGAAGCCATACTGATAATGGATGTGGTAATATTTGTAAAGCAAACCTACTCTTAAGTAGCAGGAACTAATGGAATTGTTTTCCTTGATCATATGTAGCACTTTTGTTACTTTTTTCTTAAAGATATTTATATTTGATAAGTCTTTTTTTTATCATTTGAGAATTCCAAATACCAAACAGCAAACTTGCATTACAGAGTCACCCTGCGATCACCTTGTCATCTAGTATCTAAATGATGAACTGTGTGTGCATCTAAGAAAATTACATCTGCTAGCATTGTGTGGAAATGATCTCCTGGCATCCTGATAAAATGATATGTTGCTGCCGGTAAGAGGAAACGTTTTGATGGAAACAGCACGAGAAGCGTTAGAGACGGGCAGGGCTGTGTTACATTAACAGAGAACAAATTAAAAACCTACGGAAATTTTTGTAGAGAGACACGTATATAAAAGTTTGCATAGCATTTCCTCCACATTCCGCTTTATCTTCCCAGTTTGTGTGGGAATAGCCTAAAGAGGGGAAAACAGCTCAAGGATGGGTTTCCCTTTGCTCCCCTCCACTTTCGAGGTGGAGCAAAGGGAAATTCCTGTTACTCACCTTGTTCTCATCCCTTCCTCCCTGTTAACCCTCAGAGAGCTTCGTGATGGCTCCAGTGTGGCTCCTCAGCAGGTTTTGAGGCAGGCTGAGCCCTCCAGATCAGCTTTTCCTCTGTCCATGTGGAGCAAACTGCTCCCTCATGTGCCGAGGAGATCCTGTGCTCTCAGAGGGCACCGCCGTGCCACCTCTCTGTCCCTTGGAAGATCTATAGGTAGGGCTTGGCCTCGACTTCCACTTATGGATTTCATTGGAAAATTTATGTGCTTTCCTTAGATACAGATCACTGGAGCAGAATGAAGCCGTCTTTTTTTCCTGTTTTATTGCATTTCTTGAGTAGGCAAATTCATGAGTAGCGTCAGGGCGGACTCAGGAAAGGCAGGACTTGGATCAGTGACCATTGCACCACTGCAGTTATTTTCCTACTGCCTGTATGAATGTTTTGGTACTTAGGAGTGAAAGGATGGGGAGAGCTTTTATTTCTATTTTTGCACAGCAGAATGATCGAGCAAACTCGAGCCTTAGTGGAATTTTACCTACTTATTCATTCCACAGTCACACACTGAGCTGACAAGCAACATCCACGATTTATAGTAAGGAGATTTTAATAATCGATGACCTCTTTACGTTGGGCTTGCCACCACCATTTGTTCTGGCTGTTTCATTTTAAAAGGAACAGACTCAAACTGTTGGACAGCTGCAATTTTAAAAGAAATATTGCTTATTGCTTACTATAGTATCTGTAAAAAAAAAAAAAGGCATTGTTTGAGACTTTGCCTTTTTAGAGCAATAGGGAAGAATAAAAATAGTATTAGAACTTCTGTATCCTGATTATAGGTTCATGTGATGCAGGATCAGAGTAACACCACTGAAATTGTGTGTCTGTACCATCTCATGTAGAATAATCTGGTCTTAATTCTGTTTGTCACTATCAGGAAGCTGCTGACATCCCACACAGCATCTTCTCTGAAGGTTAAACAGGTAAAAAACCCCTTGTGAGCAACTGGAGATTGGCAGATCTTTCTGGGCTGTAAATACCAAGTTTTCCACCTTCCCACATTGTCATTTTACCAGAGAAAGTATCAAATACTTGGGGAATCAACCCCTTGGTTCCGTGGGGTCAGTGTTTGGGAGGTGTCTGTTCTGGCTTCTCCTTGGGCATTGGGAGGTATGAGGAGCAAATGGCACCTCAGAGGAATGAGTGACACCTCAGCTGTCCCCAGGGTCCTCCTGGCAGGTTGTGCCCTTCATTCTAGAAGTTCATAAGGAGCCATTTGCAGCTGGTCAATCCCTTTTTGGTTTGAGTTGAATTATCTGTAATGGGACAGGTGCTGATGGTACCGAGAAGAGCGAATGTGATCTGGAGTAAGTGAAAGAACCAGTGGAGGGTGTGTCCTGGAATTCAGGGATCCTGGAACTCTTTCTTTTGGGGGTTTTTCCAAGATATAGGAGTTGTCTTTGTCTTTATGTCTGTGGGCTGCCTTGGAAATGAAGCCTCATTTTGGTAGCACTGCAGTGGAGTGGCAGTTTGTTGTAGCCAGGCTGGAGTCACTGCAGTTTGTTCTCTGGGGGTTCCCTTGAAGTGGCTCTGGTGGCATATCCAAGCCACCTTTTTGTTCTGTGAACAGAGAAGAAGTTAATTTAAGAAGCTCCTCATCTGTGATGGTCACAGATTGCTTTTACCTTCGTAGAGTGAGTTCTGGCTGATATTTTGTCCCTCATAAAGTCTTTTTACTTGAGTTGTCTCTGACCGTCTTCTTAAAACAACAATTTCTACCTCCACTTCTTTACTGGATTGTTTTAGTGTTGGTTTTTTTTTTAGTTCCCCACCCTTTTTCCTGAAGTATGAGATCCCAAACATTTGCAAAAGCCTTATGAGTTGATAAAAATCAGCAGATTTGTTTTCTGTTGAATACTCTGCAGACACATGTGTGGTTATAGTGAAATCCTGTGCTGGATGTGCAGTCTGCAGTGCACCCTTGCAGCAATTAAGGAATCTCATTAAGAGCTTTCAGGAGGTCATAGAAAGGGTTTGAACCCCTCTGTCCATCTTTTGTGGGGCCATTGCTTGGGCAGGAGGGGGCAGATGGGAGGGTTGGAGCACATGTCACATAGTGGGAGATTGCAGGAGCTGGGATTGTCCAGGCTGGCTCTGGGGACATCCCAGATTTTGGGTTTTAACTGTCTTAATAAATTAGTTTTAGCTTGGGGGTCCAGTGCAGGATCAGGAGTTGGACTTTGATGATCCTTGTGGGTCCCTCCCAACTCAGGATATTCTGTGATTCCAGAGAAGACAGAGCCAGGCTCTTCTCAGAGGTGCCCAGCAAAACCCTGAGGGGCAGAGGGCCAAAGCTGCATGAAGGAAAATCCCAGATGAATATAAATAGAAGTATTTTATGCTCAGTGGCAGAAATGGCCCAGAAAGTGAGTGAAATTCCCATCCTTGGGGATACTCAAAATTCAACTGGACAGGGTTGGATTAGAGACCTCCAGAGGTCTCTTCTGACCTAAATTATTCTCTGATTCTGTGCAGACCTGCTCAGGCTGAGGTGTTCCCTAGTTCTGATTTGTACATGTTGACTTGTTTAAAGAAATTCTCTTAATTTGTTGAGGGTTCTTTCTGTTTTGCTGTTCATAAAAATTATCTTTTCTAGTTTACTAATAGAGAGGAGCTTTATTTGCAGGGTCTGGCTCCAGGCTCCAATCAAGCCATAAGTTAGAGATTTCATTAATTATTTGCTCTGTTTACACAGTTCTTCAGGGATATTTGACTTATTCTGTTTGTTTCATTGCCTAACATCAGACTGGTAAGTTTTTCATGTTTTTGTAACATTTGTGATTTGTAGATCAGTTTTTGCCTTCATTTGTGAAGATTTATCTTTGTCTTGCTGCTGTGAGTGCAAGTGAGAAACTCCACATAGCTGAACCTATTTCAGGAAAAATTGGGATTAACTCAAGACCGCTACTGACTACTGTAGTAAGCCAGAAATTTGGGTCAGTAAATCACAAATTGGTGATTATTAGGAGCTGAAAATTGATTGGGAAAAAGTCAGATTATGCTCACTTGGATCCCCCTTTCCTTATGCTGTTGGGCACTTGTAGGAAAAGCAGTGTGGTAGTTGAAATAGGTTTTATTTTTCATAGAGATAAACCCACTAAGATTGGTGTAAGAATTTTCCAAACTCAGAATTGCTGCCTTGATGCAGGATGTTGGTTCCCTGTGCGTGATCCTAACTGGAATCCAAAGCTGGAGTCACATTTTCCTTTGAAAATTACTAAATTCACTGTGAGACCCTGCCCATAATCCTGAGCTGTGAGTGTTCAGCTGGGGATGGTTT